ACTTCAAAGACCGGACTACACTAAGGCGCGGTATGTTGGTAGTTTCTAAGTGCATGCATCACCGATCGTGGCAACGATCAACAAAGGAATCGCTTTAAGATCTAAAGGACGCTGTACTCTTGCACCGGAAATAATGGAAGCATCATGTTTGCCTGCGCGAAGCTGAATGTGGTTAAGCTAATTGGCCAGTTTCCTCGATCAAATTTTGTTTGAATATTGTATTTGACGGTACTACAGTTTTCAAAGTTTTTGCGGAAACAACTAAAACGTGGTTGCGAAAAGTCTCTATGACGGCAAACCTAGACTATTTTCAAGACAATCTTTATGGTCACAACCAACGAGTACCAATTTGAACATCCCCTCTACTACCCTGACACAAGTGATATCTACTTACTCGCCATGGAGGAACAGGCAGACTGCTATGTAATTTGAAATGTATATTGGTTGTTCTTTAAATAATTTAACTGCTTCCCTACGTTTTAATTTTACTAATCGGCTGAAATTATGACGCACAACAATACGCTCATCTGACCATGAAGATTGCTGAACCAAGATATAACAGTCGCACTAGTCGTCGTGGTGTTACTCCTTTACAAATTTTGGTTGACGAATGCTATCCAGTCTTTCTAAAAAGTGAAAAGAATTGTCATCCAGAAAATGGTCGTGGGGTGGGGCACGGATGCGCCCGTCATGCTAATCCAGCAAATAATGTTACAGAAGCACAATACGAAGGATTCGTGTAGGTGAAGGTCCAACAGCTATGAAACCTTTGGTAGCTGGCATCTTGACGGCGGGTCGGATAAGATTTAAATTTTGTGATTATGGATACTATTTTTGTTAGACAAACCGCAACAAACTCGTCTATGCCAGCAGCGTTGGGCAAACTTCCTTGCTACGACGTGCAGCACAGGCGCGTGTGGCATTAGTGGTAAGTCAAATTCAAAAATCATTTGACAGAGAATGGGAATGAAAACGAGTTTGGTCTTGCGTTTGAGCATATTGGGCAACGAGCCAGGCTCGCCACTCCGATGGAGTATCGCTCGTTGTCTTGTCATGTGCAACCTTTACGCAGCTGCGCCATATTGATGACCAGCAACGACAGAACGATGCATCAGCTAGAGCAGCAGAAAGCGAGCACGAGTGTAGTACCACTTAAACAGAGGGTCAATCATTTTGGAGCTGCATCTTGGTGACCGTCAAGGTGTAATGGGACTTTCTTCGTAAGCATTGCGCTCACCATTTCGCGAGTCTCTAGTCTGTGTTCTGCCCGATGGGAGAGTTGAGGGTATTGACCATAACGATCAGTAGAATTGTTTAGGTTGCTCTTTAATCAGTGTATCTTCTGCTTAGCATTGTTAGTTTTTAAAACATTTTCGTAATTGAGCTTACTAAGCTCTTAGTTACAATGGTGATTTACGCCTACGTGTTCGTGGTTCCGAGCGCTTTGCACCATAGCCACATCCAGTATTCTTCGAGCGTAAAAACGAAAAGCCGATCTAGCGCATGAGAAAAGAGAACCCAACTCCAACAAATCGTAACTGCGGTGAATACGGCGGAAAAATGAACAACGGGGATCCTCTGGAGGGCACGAGCTCTTCAAGCCCTTTATCCATGTCTATCTTTGCACTGTGATCAATCAAGACCACGATCGATATAGCAGGTAGAAACAAAGTTAGCAATGAACTTACAAATACTAAATTCTTATACAACCTTACCGTGGAAGCGACCACGGGTTCAAATAGGAAGCAATGTTGTTAACGAATACTTCTTGGAAGCAAAAGCGTTCAAATCTCCTTCAGTTATGTTCCAAGCAAAAAGCCCTTTACGTCAAATGCGATTAAAACTGGTACGCGCTCCTCAATTGAATTAAGAGACACAAAAGCTGGAGTGTGCGTCGAGACAACGCATTTCGACGCAGCGCATCCCTGCCGTCCTAGGAATACTCGTTGACAAAAACTAGCTGGTCCAAGCCACCGTGAAACGGGTTTTAACTTCTGATTGAACACCTTTATCTAGCTCGGGAATCACTCACGAGCCTTTTGGTGTTCCGTTTTGCTTTTTCTCTGATCAAAGCGTAGAAAGTGGAATATTGCTGGGGTTAGACGTTTTTACCAGCGCTTTACCTCTACCTTGGACAGCTTCTGGCAGTTCCTCTCGATAGAAACTCGGGTTTAGCTTCATGTAATCCTCTACAAACGCAACTGTAGACGCTGGTCAACGTGCAGACGTGCATGCTGCTTTTTAGGTAGGACATTGTCCGTTTTCTTGAATAGCCGGTGCCATCGCTTAATAGAGCGGATTGACTAGCTAAGCACGGCGGCCACCAGTCATTTCAGTGTTAAATATACGACAACGCACCAGCACAAATCAACTGACAGCCGTCATTACCGCTGAGCGAAAAGCAGTCAAACGGAAAGTAAGGTAAAACAAACGTTAGGTAAAAAAAAAGAGACCGCTATTCTGCAGTATTTTATAGAAGTTATACAGCATTTGCTATAAACATTCATACAACTTCGACGCATCCAATAAAAGAAAACAATCAAGGATCGGCGTGTCTCACCGAGTTCGTAAACAAATGAGGCTGCGTCAAACAAAACAATACTTATGAACCAAAGTACGAATCGCGATTTAAGCACTCTAAACGAAAGCGGGCCAACATTTTGATGGGATGTCAGGTTATTATGCACGTGAAAAAAAAACGATATCGATGTAGTAGGCGTAGTGTAGTGGCTATCAAGTCTGCTTTACACGCAGAAGGTCGCCGGGTCGAACCCGGCTGTTAACACCATTTTTAGCGACTCAGGGCTTAGAACTAAAGCCTTGGTTTTCTAGTTGTGCTAGTTATTGTCAATCTACAACGTATTTTGCCTTTCCAAAGTTTTGGCCAATCTGACCTTTAAAGGCTGGTCCTAACCAAGGGTGGGTAGGGCTAAAGGTGGGATTTGAGGACGAACTGGAGTTGAATTGCTAAGCCAGGCTACTAAATAAAATTTATTTGAGCAGTAGCACTGTTTGATTTTGCTGACTATGATCCAATAATATTTGATTGTGGAGGCCCTACGTAAGGGCTCCAATTTGGTCTAAAGGATACCTTTTAGCAATTTTAATGCTGAATGACCAGTATTTGCCGGCCATTTACCCTTACGTAAGGTATTCACAACAGATTGATTTTAAATCAAACATGGGCTACTCATCAGACATATGCTGGCGAGGCAAGAGTTTGTGAACAGGCTATTGTCTTTCTACAGCGGGCCAGATCAAATCGTGTTTGTCGATAAAATTTCAAAGGATGGAAGGTATTGTACAATATCAATTTTGTGACCGCTACATCTTACCTTGTTAATTTGTTGTATGGTATTGCTATGGTTTAGGTCCTCCCTGAGAAAACACGCGTGGTCCGGTCAAATATGTCTTTGATTGGCATCGTCTTTTTTTCATCAAAGGGTTATGCTAAATTTTAGTCGGATGCACCCGATCAGATAAGAGGTCTTCCGTAAGGACCATCCTCCTACGTAGGACCATAAAATTGAGGGCGTTTTGGCAGAAAGGCACAATAAAGAGTCCCTTCGTGCTCCATGCCGCGGTCAATCTGGATCGTCACACGAGGAAGACCACTGTGGCCCTAGCCGAAATGCAGGAAAGGCCCCGTAGTGCGGAAAAGGGAGGTGTAAAATGCTGTCGCAGAGGATAGATTGCAGAGAAAAGACGAAGGTATGGCTCTATGTCTAGCTGAATCAGCTTTGCGCGATAGCTCCGTTTAAACACCCAGGTAACGAACCATTCATGCGTGCCCACGTATGTGCTCAAGTGCACCAGTATGCGGCGGACTTCATGCTGATGCAACTACTTATGTTAAGAAATTTACCTATCTATATAATGGAGCGGCCAACTACAGCCCTTGAAAAAACAAAATGTAAACTTGATCCAAATGGTTTTTTTACACACCTTCGGCGCCCAATTGGACAAAACCGCTGACAGATTCGGATTCCCCGCAAAGATTCACTCTAGAGTAGCCAATCAACGAAAAATCAACTCCGCGCCGAGCCCTATCAACTATTCCTGCTAGTTTGAAAGGTAGGCTGTATTGCTAAGATCCTTTCGTTTTGAGTCGTCTCAAATGTGCAAATATCAATGAAAGAAAAATCGTTTATATCGCGCTGTTGGTAAGAACCCGCGCTATATAACAATACCACGCCGAGTTAAATTCGGTATTATACGTTGTGTAATCCAAATCAATGTTTTTTTTTACTTTTACTTGCTCTTTAATTCGTTTGTATCTACCAGTAAACGCCCTACCAGCAAACCAACGATACACAAACATTTCGCATTCACATGCAAAAACCAATATAATTGCTACCACGTCATTCCTTCCCGTGCCGACGATTATTACGACTTACACCACCACCGATGATCAACCAGACAGCGTCGTTCCAGGTAGTCACGACGCTGTTGCTCGGTCTACAGCGTTAGCAAATGATCCAACAAGCAAGTGAGCTTGAGCTATAGTCTGAAATGAGACAGCATCGTCTTGGTGTGCGCTGAAATTCAGCTCAAAAGTGGTTGCGAAACGTCTAGTAGACCACGTTTTAGTCCCCTGTTTTGCACTTTACTCGACTCATTCCACAGCGCAAATGAAGTATTATTTGTGAATGCAAGGTGTATGTAACATCTACATACGACACGATGGCCGAGCGCGCTGGTTTTAGGCACCAGTCTTCGGGCGTGGGTTCGAATCTCACTCGTGTTATTCTTTGTCTCGTGTGCACAAAACAATTTGACCCACATTTTGAGCAGCCACTCTAATCTGAAGCTTAGACTATATAACCCAGGCGTACCACCGGGGTACAGGTTTTATAGCAACAAAAATTATTTGTGAGTGGCTCTAAAACAAACGCGTTCTTTATGAAAAAAAGGGTTTATACGCCGCTCTAACCACACACGAGTGCACGCGATGATAGATCGCTCAAAGTTGGGCATGACTCCGAACCCATGCGAATCTACAAAAAGCTGCCTGTAGGGCACCTGGTGCCTCTTCAGCCATCGAGACACCTGCATTTCACTGAACGGCGCTATTTTTTTGTACGTTTATAAAGATTTTGCTAGAGAAGCATGTAGTCCACCGCTACTTGTGCACTTTAACGCATACGCAGGCATGCAAGAATGGTTCGTTACTTGGGTCTTTAGACGGAGTTATCGTGCAAAGATGGTTGAGCTAGACATAGAGTTATACCTTCGTATTTGCTGTGCAAGATATCCTCTGCAGCAGCATTTTGCACCTCCCTTTTTCCGAGCTGCGGGGCCTTTTCTGCCTTTCGGCTAGCAGCCTTCCTCGTGTCATGATCCGGATTGACCGCGGTATGGAGCTCCAAAGGACTATTTAAGTCGAGGATAGACCAGATTAGTATGCCAGGACGGGTCTGAAGTGGTCGAGGTCTGACCTTCACGGCAACTAGAGAAGCTTACAGGGCACGCCACTGTCTCGCGGATCCGTGACTACGCCTTAGACCAAACCACAGCGTCGTGACCGCAGCGAAGAAGACGGTAGTAGTTGGTCATGGTTGGACATCGCTGGTGGTGTGAGTGCTGATGGTGGTAGGCACTGGAAGATAAGGCGATAGCAAAGATGAGACGGCGTCAAACAAAATGATGCTTACGAACGTAAGTACGAATCGCGATTTAGGCACTTTAAATGAAAGCGGGGCGTCTCCTCTATCTTTTGAGCCCTTATGAGCTACAGAATACCTAAAACCGAAGAAGTTGTGGTCGCTCAAAAAAATTGGGAAAATGACAGCAGGTGAGTGGATACATGAAAGTTGTGACAGAATGTGTAAAATGTGAGTGGATACACTAAAGTTGTGACAGAAAGTTAAAGGTGTGCCAAAACGTGAGCAAAGTGGGCTCGGTATCGCCGGTAGGTGTACCAAGTGAAACCCGCGTCAGTAAGTGAGGAATTTAGGGAACAAACGTCACAATGTGTGTCCAAATTATTGAATGGCTGAAACAAGGTGGGCCGGACTTAAACCCAAAGCCCGTTGTATACTAATGTTCGTCATGCGTATGAAGACCCAAATCGTACACTCTTGTGGAGTATGGCACACCAAGTATCAGACGACATTGCCTGAACAGACTCAGCGAATGCCGAGAGGAGGCGCGTGCCTTGATGGCTCGTGTTTCGCTCTCGCGTGCCTCCAAGACATATCGGCAACGCGACTGGCGACAGTGAGCGGGCGGCACACGCCGGCGACCAGGAGTTGCCGGTGGCACGCGGCTACTGAAGCAGCAGCATGAAGGACAGGTACTGCTGCCGCAGGAGCTCGTAGATATGGATAGTTTGAGGACTCTTTGACTATTCTCACCTCGCAACTTGCTATACAGCGCGCAATACGTCATAACTCTTAAGTCCCAAAACCACTTATTACGACTGAGGGACGCAAAATGACGGAGGACATCGACGACATCGCTGATGGTTTGGACAGCGGCGATGAGAAAAATACTATTCAAGTCGGAATGACTTTTGATACTGCTTCACATGCTCTTCATGCTGTTCAAGACTACGCTTTATCTCATGGGAGGTCTGTGCAGCACGATTGTTCCGTGCGTGTCTATACTCAGTACTGCGACCTCTGCAGCATAACATTGTTTCATGTAATACCAGTGTCTGGTGTGCCACAAGAATACACCGCTACAGGTCCGGATCACCTAGCTCAGCTCGTACTTGAGCAGGAAATGGATGGGTTTTCAGTGAGCGATCTGCAGGCCTATTACACGACGTGGTTGATTGTAATATATCCCCCTGAGTCAGAATAATTAGCGCGAGCTAACCTGACTTTCTCCCTGAGTCAGAATAACTCGCGCGAGTTAATCTGACTTTCTCCCTGAGTCAGAATAACTCGCGCGAGTTAATCTGACTTTCTCCCCGATTCAGATTAAGTCGCGCGAGTTAATCTGAATTATCTGAGTCTGATTCGTTTCGAACGGTTGGTTCCGGTGGCCAATCTCGAATTAAGGGCGCGATGTCCAAGCGCACGTGCACCCAGCGGACCGAAAGAGAGAAGATAGAGCTGCTGAAAAAGTGGAAAGCTTATCCGGAATGAACTGCAGCAGACGCTTTGCGAGAGCGAAACGTCAAGGAGCCTACCCTGCTGGGATGAAAAAAACAGTCGGGATCAACTAGACTGGGGGTTCTGTGATTACCGGTATCGCCTCCCAATTGGGATTGGCTCCCACCGACCAACAACGGGATTTGCTGAATGCCAAGTTGCGACAGTAAGTGAGTCGGTACGAAAGCTGTGTCCACCATCTTCATCTGTGATCATTTTGTCATTTTCCCCCAAAAAATTATCTCCATTTATGGGCCCTCGAAATGACGATATATTTAGATGTGTTGTCAGCTCAATATTTTTTTTTAATTTTAGAGATTCAAGTGCTATTTAAAAATCATTGTTAAAAGCAATTGAATAAGGATTCTTTCACAGTTTATCGATGGTAGTTTACAATAGATTCAAAGTTTCGATTAAGTGCGAAAAATCAACTGGCCAACTTTAAGCTCGATTATCTCGATAACTCTAAATGGTTCGTAAGCATCATTTTGTTTGACGCCGTCTCAGATAGCTGTGCTGTCTGTGAATGTGGTGATACGTGTGTATCGCTGGATGGTTTAAGTGTAAGGCGTTTGTGAAATTGTAAACGCGTTTGTCTGTTTGGAGTGGCCTCGTGGTATGATTCTCGCTTCGGGTTGCAACGAGATTTACTTAGCCACAGAAAGTACTAATTGTGTAGTGCATGATGATGCATAGCCAGTATGTTTTTCGAGCACAAGGCAAAATTGCCGTAAAATTTAGCTAAATCTCGTTTTATCTATTTCTGGCGCGATGATCATTTTAGCTGTGAGTTATAATTGTTGATCAAACTTATTGGAGAGCTTTCAGTCGTTGTATTGTAGCGTCAAACATCCCCATAATGCGCAAACAAGCACTTAATTCGCTTCAGCGTGAAAATTTTGATTTATCTAAAAAACGTCGGTCACAAGAAGTTTTTTGGCTATGTTGTGAGACCAAATTTGTGTGAGGGGGGGGATTGATTTGTGTATGCTCGCTCGCTTTAACCCCTTAGTTCCTTTATGTT